CCCCCCTCTCTTTTAAAAAAGGGGGGGGGGGGTAGGTATTTTGTAGTTCACATAAGTAGCCTGGGCAGGGTTGCTAATACTGCTTGAGAGAACACTGCAGAGGGCACAGGAATTTGCAAGCTCACTGGATTTTTGTCAGGAACAGCAGGTATTTTTTGGACTTAACAGATATAACAATATGCTTTCACAGACCAAAAGGGAGCATGGTTCTCTTATTATTAATTGTTTAAGTGGTGTAAATGAGAATCAACATTCCACATCCTTACCATCTTGTCTTGATTTGTATTGTGATTGTAATGTCTTCCCTATATTGTAAAGTGCTGCGCAAACTGTTGGCGCTATATAAATCCCGTATAATAATAATAATAATGTAATTGGGATTACAGCATATGAAACGTACCACATTTAGGAAGCTATGGTAAAGCATTTATATACACAGCTTGGGAAAAAATGAGTAACTGAACCTTCTTAAAAAGTAATTCAAACTCTTTAATTTTCTCCTATATTTAATCAAAGTGAAGTACACCAAAACACATTTTAATACAATTGTTTTTACAAAGCTGGATTAGAATCAAGTCATTACGACTCAAACAACAGTTCATATACACAAATAAATAATGAAATCAACAGAAAATCTGCAGCAAAGAGCGAATGTCCAGAGGGTAAGCCAATGAAAAAGAACAAATACAGCGCTTGTGATAATCTGTGACTGGTAGCCAATTATTGGCTCTAGGCATACCAAAACCTGCAAGTCCTGTGAGTAATTACTGGCAATTGTCAGTGTTCTGTGTTCAGATTAGGTCACTGTACATCCTTGGGCTACAAAATGTTTATTTTCTAATTAGCATTCAATTATTGTAATTAGAGTTCATTCCTCTGGCTGGCAGGCAGCAGATCAGAAGAGGATCTTGCCAATGAGGGCGTAAGAATGGGTAGACACAGTCCTGCTGCCTTTATTACGTGAAGGAATCCTTGTCACTGAAGCCAAACAAGTCACCTATTCTCACTTTCTGTGGGACTGGCTGCCTGGAAGAGAAAGGCAACAAAAGTATTCAGGTTTCTTAAAAAAAATAAAATCATATACTTATATCATATTCACTCTGAAAATTTTTATTAGAAAATTTGGTAAATTCACACATACCTGAATAATAACAGTTGTGTAATCTCAATAAAGTTTTATTAACATTTTTTATAGAAATCACAACATGGATTTCAAAGTTAATTAAAGTGCACCTGTGCTCAGACTAGGGACTTTTTGCTGCTGACGACACGAGGCTTACATTGGTAGCAGCACAGGCTTTCAAAGACACTCCTGGCTGCTATAGTAGCCCACACAAGCTAAATGTCGGCTTTGTGCTGGAAGTGCAGTAGTAGAACTGCCTGATCACTTCCACGGACTTCTACAAGTGCGCCTTCCCATGCCCGGTATCCGCTTCCCCTCCTGTGGTCCTGGGACAGCCATGGCCGGTGTTGGGGGCAAGATGGGAGGGAGATCAGCGAACATCTGAACATCCATTTCACTGATCTCCTCTCCTGTGATGTAATCTCACCTTAACGAGAACCTGTCACCTATAATGTGCTAACACATAAGGGGTTATATGCCCCCTAAGTGATAGCAATCAAGTTATTATTATTATACAGGATTTAAACAGCGCAAACAGTTTGTGCAATATAAAGGGTGACAGAACAGTTGCAATACAATTCAACACAAGATGGTTAGGAGGGCTCTCCTCCTGAAAACTGTTAGGTCTATTCACAAAAGGGTGAAGAGTTTGGAGAAGGCAGGAGAAGTGACCCATCTAGGACAACATAACTGATTTGGAAACATTCTCCAATTCAGCTCACTTTCCAAATCAGCTATGTTGTCCTAGATTGTTCACTTCTCCTGCCTTCTCCAAACTCTTCACCCTTTTGTGAATAACCCTGTGAGAATTTAAAAGGGAGGGGCAAGTAATACAAAAGGCTTCAGGGAGATTTCAGGGATTTCCTAAAGGCAGAAAAAGTAGAATACAGCCAGACAGGTTGGGTCATATGAATGCATATTTTACCAAATATTTTTGTTGGATAAACAATTGCAGAAATATCATGCGACATAAAAAATTGCAACTGCCACCGTTTTATGTTCCTGGGTCTCTGCATTTGGAAAAAATATAATCCTGTGGGGGTTTTAACTAATCTTCAGGACCAAAATGTGTATTTTAACATGCACGTTAAAAATGCAAAAACCAGTTCTGGTAGTGAAAGGGTTAAAGTGTTTACATACTCTTATCAAGCAGTAAAATGGGATTCAGGATTTAGTTATTCTGAGATAGTTGGGTTATATTGCCGTCTACAGGAAGATTTAGACACTGGCAAACACAAAAGCTATTTGCCAGGCAGGTATAACCCCTCCCACTTCTGGACATGCTTTAGTTTTGTAGAAAAGCAGTCCTGAAAAGTAGATCACAACATACATGGATTGGACCTGTGTCCCTTAACTACCTCCCGGCCAGCCGCTGTGTATACACGGCCTGCCGGGAGCTTCTTGGATGTAACTGGGCGTGTATACACGTCCTGTTACATCCGCCCGCTCGGGCGCGGCGCGCGGGAAATCCCCGCTATTTGAAAAGAGGCAGCGATGCCCGTTAATATACAAGCGATCCGCCGGCTATAGAGCCGGCGGATCGCTTGTATGAAGCCCCGAGACGTGCGCCCCCTCCGCGGCTCTCCCCCTCCCCCCCTCCCGCTGTCAAGCTGGTCCCGGGCTCCGGTGTGAGCCCGGGACCAGCATAGTGCCTCTGTCACAGGGGATCAGAGGGAGCTCGGTACACGAGCTCCCTCCGGTCCCCTCTCCGCTGTCAGAATGCGGAAGTGTTGTATATTACATCACTTCCGCATTCTTGTGTCACTCTCCAGCTTCAGATGCTGGAGAGAAGCTGATGAAGCAGATCTCTGCTTCATCAGCTTCTTCAGGGGGGTCCTAGGTGACATTAGGGGTCTTGGAGACCCCCTGATGTCTCCATAAAGAGGACCTGTCACCTCTTTTGCTATCACATAAGGGGGTTTCTCAGCCCCCTCTGTGATAGCAATAAAGTTAAGTGAAAAAAAAAAATAGTACAAAAATTTAAAGTTTCCCCCCCAATTTTTTTAAAGTTACACAAAAAAGAATAAAAAAAAACAATTTTTTTTTTTAAAGTCCCCACCCCTACATACACGCATGTAAACATGCGTCAGGTGCGCATACCTGCGAAAACGACGATTGCACCCATTACGCCGCACATGTTACATATCGCCGCGAACGTCGGAATGAGAGCAATAGTTCTAGGGCCATCAATCACTGATAACACTAAACTGATGAGCGGTAAAAGCTTTTAAAGCGTCGCCTATGGCCAATTTTGGGTATGCTAGTTTTTTGCGATTTTGCGAGTGCGCGCAATTTTTACGCTTGACATGTTTGGTGTCTATTTACCCGACGTGACCCCATCTTTTATATTTTACCAAAAAAGTGGGTAATATTAGTTGTTTTATAGCATAATGTAAAAAAAAACTTTTTTTTCTCAAAATTTTCAGTAATTTCTCCTGAATATAGTAAAAAATAAAACCCACAGTGGTGATTAAATACCACCAAAAGAAAGCTCTATCTGTCCCCAAAAAAATGGTATAAAATTAATTTCAGTACAGCGTTGCGTGACGGAATAAATGTCAGTCAAAGTACCGCAGCGCTGAACACTGAAAAATGGCCTGGCCAGGTAGGGGATCTAAACACCTGGTCTTCAAGCAGTTAATGAACTCCGGAAAAAAAAAAGGATTTTATGGCAAGTACAAAAATCCAGTTCTTTATATAGTTAAGAGACGCAGGATTTAGTTAGTAGAACTCTAGCTTTAGCCTGATACAGGAGGACTGCTACCCTTGCGTTAGGGTTCCAACATGTTGCACTGCTTAAATGGATCCACTTGATAGGGACCACCAGGTAAAAACCTTGGTTAATCACAAGTAGCTGCTTAAGCAGGCAAAGCTTCATGGCTGGAGGTGACTAGATGGTGGTAGGCGACAGCAAGGACAATCTGAAGTGTAAAATGAATGTCTCTTGCAGATAGGTGCAATGGCGGGAAGGTGCTACCTCATGCTAAAGAAAAAGGCGGAAAAAACACTCAAGCTAATGACACAGCATTTAATACCATAGCAGGTTAACCCATTCCATGGATATCAATGGAACAGGGTAGTAATGGTTGCATTCAATGTTACCAAAGATTGTGGTAGCCCCTGATGCTGAGCCCATATGGCATAGTCACTAAGAGTCTTCAGAGACTGGGTTACGGCTCTGGGCCTGGAAAAAACTCTGTGGCTAACACAGTACAAAAGGTCTGGGAACCGCCGCAGGCTCAATCTTTGGCACAGTGGGGGCAGAGTACAGCCTCAAGGGCAGTGCCAAGGAAACACCGATCCAGATAGCTGCATAGAAAGCCCAGCTCAGCAGCATGTAGCTGAGGTGTTAATGGAAAAAAACATCTTGAGGAAAAATAAAAGGGCTAAAGTAGGACTTCCTAGGAGCAAACAACTGAAGCATGCTGGGAGTAGGTATACTTGGAGGACACTGCACATGCCTGGTTGTGAGACAAAGAGATTGCTTGTTCCTCGGATGCTGGGAGTGCGTCTTAGATGCTGAGGGCACACCCAACAGATTTCCTGCCCTAAATTCTGTGCAGGACATGGTGGATGTCACTGAATGGAAGTGTATTGGGCATGTTTCAGGGAAGCCATGCTTGGCCTACAGTTTTTTAAAATAATGGGGGCTCTTTATTGCATGATATATATTAATAATGGGAACTTACACTTGTAATAAAAAATTATTCAATCCCCATTGTAAATCAGGTTTATTGGCAGCATTTACTTAAAGTTTCAGTTGAGCAATTGAAATAAGTCACAACAAATGGGTGTCAGTTCACAAAGCTTTGTTTGCTGATTTGGACCGTTATTTCACAGATATCGCACACTACTTAGGATTATTCAATTCACCAAATGATTTAACTCTTGGAATCTCCACCAATTGACATCTGTGTTTGCAGAAGTGATATTTTATTGTGTAACTTGTTATCCAACGTTTCAAACCTCATCATAGCAAGCCTAATCGTTAAATATGTACAGAAGTGCAATTCACAAAAGATTTTTTGGGACATTTATCGGCCGTTAGACAATAGTTACCTAAGCACCTCCTTCAGAGTGACATTATGACAGTTTTCTGGCGGTGATTTCTGCTCTTAGATGGAGATTTGTGAGGTGAATTGATAACTCCTTGTAGTTGAGGCTCTTTTTTGCAGTTTTTGGAAGATGAAAATGTTTCACTATGTTTTATTTTTATAATTATTATATACAATATATATTATTTTATCCTTTTTTTATTTTTATTATCTTATTTTTTTGGAGTGGGGTTATAATTCATAAACTTTGTAACATGTAAACTTCACCAGTTTTAATAAAGTTGCTTACATACAACAAGTGCAGTCTGTTGAAAACACGTCTATTGTAGGCACTGTTCTCCTCCCCTTCTGGTCCCAGAATGCATCAAACGTATTTTAACCCTTAAACGTTAAGACTACGATTTAATGATGCTTCAGTTGCTAAAATAATGTCAAACACGTAAAAATAACAACTCCCTAACGCTTCAGTCAGAAGTCTTAACGAGCATGCTAAATAACGATTAGGACTTTTCCTGAATAACATGTTTTGAAATGAAAAATATGGAGAGGTAAATTACCAACTAAAATTTTCATACGGCGGCCCCATCCTGCCCCAACCTTTGCACAGTTCAATTATCGCTCTTTAGCAGAAATCACCTGGACGAATTTCAGTAATCGACCGCACGGATTTTCGTTTGCGCATGAGCAGTGTTAATCGTATGAATTTTGACGTACAGAAACGCCACCAACCTTGCGAAAATCAAACGGTCGACTGAGGTTTTCTAGCACCCTGGAAAGACGAAAACTTGTACGATTGTACAGTATTTGCGGTTGTATACTTCCCATCAACCTTATGAATAGCGGACGAA